ATCAGCATCACAAGCTGAAAATAATAGGGGAAAAAAAAGGAAGCAGTTTTTTGTGCCGAGGGTTCCGAGGTCCAGGTTTCAGAGCTGGAGGATGTGGGGTTTTACACCACTTGCTGTGCAAGTCACCACAGATTTATTTATAAGGATTCATCAAAAGAAGTGGAGAAATGTGTGAAACCCCTGATTTCAGAGATGGAGAACCACCATTCTGGTATTTAAATTGGTCTGCAGGACAGCTCAAAATGCTATTTATCTCTTCTAAGTAGTAAATCCATCAGCCAGAAGACAATCCCATTAGGAAAAAAAATAAATAAAATAATGCTGCATTCTGTCAGTGCTCATTTTCAAAAGGATTGAATAAACAGACAGCTCTGGTGACTCTCTGCCATCCCAAAAATCCTCAAAAAATGTGGATTTTTCAGCCCATATAAACCCCTGGACATCTCCCCATCTCCATGCTGTGCTTGTCTCAGCGTAATCTGTTCTTCTCAAAAAACATGGCCAGACAAGTTATTAGGAAGATAAATAAATAATATACTTGCCAATCAACCAGGAGAAGCCTGTACTAAGCTCTTATTTTACACATCACTGCATCACCTGATGAATTAATATATTATTGTTTGCACAGTATTAGTATTAAAAATGAACTGGGGAAAAAAGTGACCAGCAAACTGCTTTCTTTTTTCAGATTCAAAATGCATTTTTTTTTAATTCCAGCCCCCAAGACCAGTAACAGACAATAAGAAATGTGCTTCCTTCACAGAGTAGGAGTTAAGGATTAAGATGGCAGAGCTGCTTTCACAAATATTCGAGGCCCTCTGGGCCTACAACTTTTGTTACTGTCTGGCTGGAAACATCAACATGCATTTTGAGAGTTATAGAGGCATTTAATGCTTTTCATCTTCAAAGCATTTCTTACTCCTTTCAACTCTGGCTGCAAGTATTATATCCCTGTTTTGGAGATGGAAATGTTACTTTGCCCCACACTATCAAAAAATATTCCTCCTCATCTCACCCAGAGCAGATTTAGAAGGTTAAACCTCACCAAAACCAAACCAACCACTCACTAAAGTTCTGATTTCTTCTTTTCCTGCCTTCAACTCCCAACTAAAGAATTCCAGTTGTTTCGACCAACAACCTACCCTGTAATTTCAGCCAGGCCAGAGAAGCTGGGATCAGACGAGCCAGGTAACAGCGATGGTGAAACTCCACCCGCAGATCAGGTCATACCACAACCACCATTTTAGTTATAATTTTAGTCAAAAAAAAAGCTCTTAACTTTTAATTAGTGCTGAGTGTCAGCTCTGCCCAGGAGAATATATTACAGGACTGTCACACAAGTACTCATTGAGAGAGCTCCAGCCCTTGGCAAGCAATGCCATGGGGTATTTAGGATGCAGTTTGCTGAGGAATGACAAGGAATATGGAGCTGGGATTGCACACTGCCTCCCAAGGATGCAGCCTGCTGCCAGAAGGTGTTTCCTGGAATGACAGGGATGCTGTCAATGTGCTCTGCCTGCCGAAAAAACAAGGGAACAGTTACAGGTGACTGGGGTACAGCACAAGCCACAGTCCTTCTCCAGCACCCTCCATCCTGCAGGGGAGAGGGGAGAGATTGTGGTGAGGCTGTTCCTGGTTGATTTGGGAAATCACTTTGGACAGAAACATAAACAGATCACTCTGCTGCTCAGGCCAAAAATCCTTACAAAGGTGTGTATGTACACACCACTCACACCCCAGTACATGAAAGGGAAGACACAGAATATTAAGGCACAGCAACATTAACTGGGAGCTTGGCAGAACTGTCAGAGGAGGAACAATAATTAATCAGAGCAACAGAGAAAATCAGACAACTGATGAGCTTTCAATATTTAACCACTCCTGTAGAAATAACACAGAGGCAGCACCCAGGAACCCACACACACTGCAGAGCCCAGCACGTGTTCTCATTAAGGGAATCCTTGGTATGGTACAAATATGTGTATTCTAATTGGAAATTTAAGTAAGAACCTCTTAAGCTGCCATTCAGCATGTTCAGCAAATGATGCAACTCATGAGTTGTCACCTACACTACATGATCCTCAGCTGCTCTAGGCAGTACCATTCAAGGAATAAATTTATAAATGAAACCAGAGCACTTGCATGGGTGAGGAAACAAAGCACTCCCCAAAGGTAACAGTCACTGCCCTCATGGAAGTCTCTGTAAATAGACAGCAGTGATGTGAGTGCCAAAATCAGACTGCTGCTGCCACCAGAAACCTCTCTCATCCTCAGTCCGCCTGTAGCTTCAGCCTCTCTTCCAGCTGCACCTCACTCCCCAACAATGCAAAATAACTTGAGATGATGAGAAGCACTCGGTCCTCAGCGCTGCTGGACCATGAGGCACAGGCAGAAGGAGAAGGGACACAGGAAGGAGACGCTGCGCAGAGGAGAAGGAGCTCGTTCACAGCACCGCCAGTGCTCCCTCAGAAATCTGATTTATTTCATATCTCAAGGCTTCCTTGTTCATTACTCCCTGCCCCTTCTCACAGGCATTTAAGGCTCACAAATTCTGTGTTTCTCCTCTTACCTCTTCCACTTGCTCCTCTGGTGTCCGTTCTGGAGACTCCACCTCATCCTGCCTTCCTGCACTTACAGAGGCTCCGTCTACACTTCCCTCTTTTCCCAGACTCAAAACACACCCAACCAACCTCTCACCTTCACTCTATTGAAGCATTTCCACCTGCTCCTGCCCTCATTGGATGCTTCCTTCCCACCTCCAGCTCAGACATTCCCTTCCTGCAAAGCCCTCTGGTGACACCACCTCCTGCCTGTTACCGGGATGTGCAGATGTGGGAGCCACAGCTGGCAAGGACCAGAGCATGGGGAGAGCACGCAAGGGAAGCATTAAATCCTGCCACTTCCTCCTCTCTGGTTTCTGAAGCGAAATAAAACCGCAGCTCGCTAATGGCTGGATATCAACCCTTCCTCCTGCCACCACAGCTTCCCCTCACTAGTCCTGATTTGGGGCCAGTCACCCTCTAAACCAGGACAACACCCTTGGATTTATATCCAGTTAAAGTGTAAAAGCGTTCTCGCCCTCCTTCCAAAATCCCACACCTTTCTTTTCTGCCTTTTCTACAAACACAACCTGTTTGCATCAGCCCAAGCATCCCCACTGTGCTGGCAGCCCTCACCTGGTGCTCCCCACCACTCACCAACAGCCCTGAAAAAACAGAAAAAAGGGGAGTTTTGTGCCAGCTACACCCAACCCTGTCTGAGCAGGATTTGGGAATTTCAGCCCTAAAACCAAGTGAGAAGCACGGGCTGCAGTGACACATGTCGTAACATTTTTTGTTCTACTGTAGGAGGTCAGCAAAAAAGCTTCTAAAATCAGGGGAAGTTTGTTCCCACTGGTTTTTAATCTTAAACAGCTGTAATAATGTTCCAGGGGGGAGCAAAGGACAGGCTGGGCATTAGCGTGATGGGAGCTGAGACAGTCAAAATACGAAGCATATAAAAATAGTGCTCAGTATGAAAAGGGTTTCAGTTTAACTACCAGTTTCACCACTTTAAATTACTTCAGGGCCTTAAATATCCAACTAATAGTAAACAGAATTTTAACATTATTTGCATCCCCGTGCACTGGCATCCAGATTGTTCCCAAGCTTGGATCATCAGTACAATTCCTGGAAAGAAAACCTGGCTCATCCTATGGTTAATTCCTGTAACAATGTGTATTTTTATGAGCTGTTTTTTTCAAATACAACACACACTGAGGTGACCGTATTATAATTTTTTTTTTCTTTAACGCCAGAAACGGATTTAGCAATGCAATTATACTGACTTCATTTGCATTAACAGAGACTCCACCAAAGCAAAGGATTATGCTTATATCTTTTGAGGAGAAATGCATACATGCGTATGCACGGCAGAAGGGAAAAAAAAGGGACTTCCTTGAATTCAGTACATCAATAATGTACCTTGTTAAGTGAAGTCATTTAAATCCGCGTCTTCTTAGCATCAAGGACAAGAGACAGCTCAGTGTTTGCCCGGACAAAACGAGCCCTAGGAGGCCGCCCAGCACAATGATGGTCCAGAGGTGAGAGAATGCAGCCAGTTTAGAGAAGATAAAAGGCCATTTGGGTAGAGACCCCCGCTGATCCTATGAAAGTGTCTCCTTTTCAATTTGGGAGGCTTTTAAAACTGCATTTGCTACTGACCATACCTTACCCTGAAAGCCGCCTGGGATCCGATTTCACTTTTTCCCCCCCGCCCGGAGAGGGTCGGCAGCCGCCGGCTGTACCGCAGGTACCAGCGCTCCCTGCAAGTCCCACCAGCCCCTCGCACAACACCCCGCAAACACCACACAACTCCCGGCAACGAGAATAATCCGAACCCCGCCGCGAACCCAGCAACTGAATAAACTCCTCTGGGGCCAGGAAACATCGCTTTCCCCGCGATCGCCCCGCAGCTCCTGCCCGCGGGATGCTCGGCCGGGACCGGCTCAGCACCGAGCCCCCAGCCCGGAGCTGCCCCGGGGCACGGCGGCCTCAGCCCCCGGCCCGGGCTCCGACCCCTCCGCGACTGCGGGAGCCGCTTTTGGCTACTCCTATTGTGTAAATTACAAATAAAACAAGAAACTGCCCGTGCCCCGCCGCTACGGCCCCGCTCGCCTTCGGGCGGGCGGCACTGCAGGGGAAGCGGGGCCGGGGGAAGCCGGGGCTGAGGGGAACCGGGACTGAGGGAAGCCGAGGCCGGGGGAAGCTGGGGCTGAGGGGAACCGGGGCCGGCGAAAGCCGGGGCAAATCGGGGCTGAAGGGGGGAGCCGGGGCTGAAGGGGGGAGCCGGGGAGGGAAAGTTTGCGAAGAAGAAAAGAACCGAGGAAGGGACGAGGAAGAAAGAAAGGAATGGAGAGAGGAAAGGCAAGGCAGGAATCGGGAAGAGCGTGTGGAGGAGGGAGGGAGGGAAGGAAGGAAGGAGGGAAAACCAGGCGAGGCGCGGGCCGGGTCGGGCCATACCTGCATGGTGACGACCCTCAGCTCCTCGGTAGCGAGTTTCCTCATCTGGCTGGCCAGGACTTGCGCCTCGTCCAGGATGGAGAACTCCGCCTCGGCGGCGCCCAGCGCGCACAGCAGCGCCAGGCACAGGAGGCCGAGCGGCCCCCGGCCCCGGCGGGCAGGGGCAGCGGCGGTGCGGGGCTGCAGCCGCCCGCCGCCCCGCGCCATGCTGGGGGAGCGCCGCGGGCACCGCCGGCCGCGGGCACCGCCTGCCCCGCTCAGCGCCGCGGGCCGCCCGCCATGCAGGGGACGGCGGCGGGCGCTGCCCCGCGCCCGGCTCCGCGCTCACGGCGCTCCGCGGGCCCCGGCGCTGGAGAGAGAAGGAGAGACGCAAACTGCGGCGCGGAGGAGGAGTGGGAGCGGCGGGGCCGAGCGGAGGCGCCGCGGGCAGGGGGAGGCGTCTGGGGCCGCCGGGCTGCGGGCGGGGGCCGGGCCGGGCCCCCCGCGCCAGCCCCGCCCCGGAGGCCGCCGTGCCCCCGGGCCGGCCGCGGGACGCGGAGCGGGGCGCCTCGGATCGGTCCTGAGCGTCTTCCGAAAAGTCACCGCTCTGCCGCCTTTGATTTTACTCTTTTAAAACTTTTTCCTTTTTTTCCCCCTTTTTGTTTTATTTATTTTATCAGTGTTCAGCGTCTCCTTTCGCAGCCCCCCGGAGCCATCCGTGCACGGCACCGCCCAGCACGGCCTCGTGTCAAGCAGCGAGCCTTGAGGAAATGTTTGTCGTGAAACTGACTCGGGCAATAAACAAATAAATGAATGGAAGGAACGGCGGCAAAGCCACCCCATGGCACACACAGCTGCGCTCCCTGGAAGAACAACAGGGATGAGACGATGAGCCAAGATACCTGGAGAAACACCCTCAATGGGGCAAGAATCAAAGAATCACAGAATGGTTTGGGTTGAAGGACCTTAAAATCCATCCAGTGCCACCCCTGCCATGGCAGGAACAGCTCCCACTGTCCCAGGTTGCTCCAAACTCATCCAGCCTGGCCTTGGGCACTGCCAGGGATCCAGGGGCAGCCTCAGCTGCTCTGGGCACCCTGTGCCAGGGCCTCACAACCCTCACAGGAAAGAATTTATTCCTGATTTCTATTCTAAACCTAATTTCCTTCAGTTTAAAGACATTCCCCCCTTGTCCTATCACTATGCCCTTGTAAAAAGCTGTGTTGATGCCACGTGCACAAGCACACGGCAAGCCCTGCATCCAGTAACATAGCAGCATATTGAAATGCTAGAATCACAGAAAAAGTAAATTGGAAAAGACCCCCAAGATCATCAAATCCAACCATTAACCCAGCACCGCTAAGCCACGTCCCCAGGTGCCACCTCCACACACCTTTTGAACACTTCCAGTGGTGGTGATCCCATAGCTGTCCTGACCTTCCTCACACCTTCCCTCCTGACCAGCAGGAACCAAGCTGCAGCATCAGGTTGTATTAGGAAAACTCAAACAAGGAATAAATTTGAGGAGTGAAAGCCAAATTTCCATTGTGCAGCACCTGGAGGTACTGCCCAACAAACCCAAGAAGCCAAAAACCAGGCCCACGCAAAACACACACCCTTCAGATTTACTCTTTGTTAATTAACACTTTATAATTGTGCAGGTGTAGAAATGTTTAAATAAATCTGGCTTGTAGAGACACAAGGGCTTCAATAACCCACACCCACAGTTACATTTTTAAGAGTCCTACCAGAGCCACTTGTGTCCTGTAGCAGTAAATTCCAGGAGTTAACAATTCATCCAAGCATTCACGCAACATATTATTTACTGCAATCATAATCCTATTTCCTTGAAATGTGGTTTCTTTCTGCTTTAATGCTTGATTTTTTGACTTCTCCCAGGTGCTGGTGCTCACAGCAATTTCTCATCCCACTTTGTCAAGGATGGGAGCTGGGTCAGACCTGAAACTTGCTCCTCCCAGCAGCGTCCGCAACATCTCTGAGGGACATCAGCAAAACTCTTTCATTTGATTTTAATAAATGAAATATAATTCTTCCTGTGCAAGAGCTGCATCAGCTTATCCTTGGCTTTTGTTCATTTAGGTGATTTATGGGCCTGAAATAATTTTTATTTATATTTATATATATATATGGATGTATTTTTAGTCAATATTCCTGAGAATACTGGTTTAGCCAAAGCAATCCAAACCCAAAGGATGCCTCCTAAAGCTGCCCTAATTGTTACCTTCTATTTCCATTGCTGAAGCAGCATTTGCTCCTTGAAAGTCAAGGATTTTTTCTTTCCATCGTGCTGAAGCTTCTGGACTTCTGTTGGAAAATCTTTCCTGTGCCCAAGTGAGAGGCAAAACTCAGCCAAATTCACACTTAGTGCTCATTTTCATATTACATTTTACTTCGTTTATTAGATTCACCAGTGTAGGACACACAGGTTTTAAATTCTCCTGAGAAGCCAAGTGCTTTTTCAATATCCTGGCCAAACCACACTTTAAAAAAATTTTATTTCTAATATAGGCCCATGCTTGAAAACTTCACGTCAGAACTTTGTAATAATAATAATTATCAACTTTGCTAGATAATTAGTTATCAAATCATTGTCACAGCCAGAGCTCAGTCAGTAGCCAGTTGCATTCAGAGCTCCAAGGATTTCCAAGTCATCCCATTCCTGCACCCCATCACAAGGTTAACACACAAATAGACATTTATTTAATAAACTAACCCCAGAAAATGAATGAGGCAATTGTCCTTTGGCTTCCAAAGCCCCGAGATGCTGCTGGTGTCGAGGGAACCGACTGAACAGGTTTCACATTTTCCTGTACAACCAAAACCCACTGAGTGCAGAGCCCTGGGGGCAAAGCCAGGCTCCTCCTGGAGTTCCCATGTGCTTCCTGCCTCCTCTCTGCCTCCCTGGAGCAGCAATCCAGCCTCCAGCACGGAGCAGTTCTTCCAGGATGTGGGAATCAGACCCAACGTGCGCTTCCAGCCCAGGGATCCACCAGTGGGGTGTTTCTAAACCTGTTGGGCTCGTGCTCAGTCAGTGTCACATGACAAAATGGTGAGGGAACGAGAGGAAAAATCTCTCTTCAAATTGTCATGGGGGAAAGAGATAAAATAAAAGACCCCAAAATTCAGATTCTGTGATCTTTGGGTGTGAGTTAAAGCTGCCAATTCAGATAATCTGATGTTTGCCACCTGCTTTTTCAGGGCTGTGCATTAAATCTGTCTCCTACCATCATAGAATCATGGAATTGTTAAGGTTGGAAAAACCTCTGGGATCATCCAGTCCAGCACCACCTCCGTGTTCACCATTAAACCATATCCAGTGCCACATCCACACATGTCCTGGACACTTCCAGTGATGGTGACTCCACCACTGCCCCAACCAAGCCTTACCCATGAAGAATTTCCTCCTGCTACCTAATCTAACCTCCCCTGGTGCAAAGCAAAGCCAGTTCCTCTCATCCTGTCATTTTGCTTTGGAATAAACCCTGGAGAAGAGGAGGATCACCCTTGCTGGGCTTGTGGCATCCCAAAATTGGAGTGTGAGCTGCTGCAGGCTGGAGAGGGAGGTAGGATGAGGAGCTGAAGGCTCTGCTCTGCTAAAAGCACCAAAAACGCAGCAAAATTGAGGCCACGCTTGAAAAACATCCCTTTTTCTTTTAGAGAACGTGGAAAAAGAGCTGGAGTGTCAGTGCTGGAGTATGGGAAGAGGAGGAACATATGTCAGACATAAATCCCAGCCCCATGGTGGGAGTAAACTCACTCTGACAGCAGCACAGGCAGATGCCAAGCGGGTCAGTCAGGAAACAGAGCAAGTGGGATGGCTCTGGAATAGCTGGAGCACGCAATGGCCCTGGAGAAAAGTACTATTCCTGTAGGGAATGACTCAATGTGGCTTATTAATGGTGTATCCCCTCTGCAGGGATCAGGGTATTACTGATGGATCTTCTCCAGTTGCTCTGCAGAGAAATATTTCATTTCTATTCTGAAAACTGGGATTCTTCTCTCCCCAGGCTGTGCTTCCTTCACTCCCTGGCACGTCCCTGGACTCTCCCAGCAAACTGGGAGCACCACATGTTGAAAAAATGTGGTCTGGCCATTGGAAAATCCCCTTAAAAGTGGCACTTTTTTAATGGTACTGATCTTCAGGCCTGCAAATGACACAATATACACTCCAGAAGGTTATTAGGTAGTTATAAGATAGTTTGGAATAATAAAATAGTTTGGAATAGCAGCCCAATCCTCCTCCCAGTCCTTTCTTTAAGTGGTCATGTGCAAACTGCACATCCAGAAACCCCCACAGGGACAGAGCAGCTCCCAGGCCCTCCCCAAGAAAGGAACCGAGGAACTCTTTGTGGCTCTCATCTCTAACCTCGAGGCAAAGGCTAAATTTAATCCTTTGGTACAAACCCAGAATAAAAATAGAGAAAATGAAAGTTTGCACAAGGCTCCTACTTTTTGCTTTGCTGCAATTCTTGCCCTGTATCATCTCCTAGTTCATGTGCTTGATTTGATTTTCTCATCTGACCCCTTTCCAATTTGCCTTAATTTGATTGTGGCCATCAGCACACAGGCCAAGTCTGAGGGCTTCGTTGATTTTCATGTTTAGTTTCCCATCCCTCTCATTATGTCTCTAAATATTTCCTCTGGAAATAACAGCTCTGTGTTAGTTTTGGCTGCAATTCTTGCTTCCCCAATAAGATTGATCTCTGCTCACTCCTGAGAGTTACAAGTTGCACGCTGGATTAAGCCAGGGGTAGCAGCTCTAATTCTTGGATTTAGGGTGGAATTTTTCGAGTAGCAATTGATTCATGCATCTGGAAACCGCTCCTCTAAACCTTGTTTTCTTCCATGGGGATGACAAAAATCAGAAATAACAGTTCCTTGAGCATATTTCATTAATTCCTGATTGGGAGAGCGCCTGTATAACTGTTTTTAGGTCTGCACTCTTACAAGCACCCATTTTCACAAAGATTACCTATAAGGCTCAAAACTCCAAGTTTTATCTCCTAGAGCAACATCTGCCCACTTCATCAGTCATTCCCCTGCAGATTACAACCAGCAATGAAAATGGAAAAAAACGCCTTGGTCTCCTCCCTCTGCAGCAAGTTTGCCTGTGAGAGCATTCTTTCCACAGCACCATCATCACCAGATAATATATTTAATATATTTAATGAAAGCCATCACGTGCGTGGTGTGGGATTTCAAAGTGA